GCACTGGGTTTGGCCTTGTGAGCCATTGACCGTTGATTGCGATTATATTGCGCATCAGGCCCTGTGCCCAGCAATTGTTCCATGCATCTCTACCTCCGTAAACCAGCTGCATTATTTGCCATTCGTCACGCCGTTTCCGTCATCCAAGCGGGAGTGCCCCCGATCTGGCACATGTTTGGCTGAGACATTCGGAAGCCTGTGGCTGCATCCAGTGGCGCGTTTGGGTGTTGGCATAGCGGTCATCCTTCAGCGGTCTTTGGCGCTGTCGATGCTTGGGGATAAGCCCGGCCGTCTCACAACATCCTTCCAGGTCGCTAATCTGCTGACTACAGGTACTAGCAAAGCGCTTAGGCTAATCGCTGGTACATACGAGGCGACGCTCATCAAATACGAACGAGATCAGTATACGCTCTATACGGCACAAGCTGACGAAAATTAATTGAAATCCATACTTAGGTGTAAAGCAAAACTCAGGCATTTATGGAGTTGTTAATTGGCGTAAAAGGTACTACAAATCTTCGCAGTACATGTATCTTATGTATTCCATATCGGGTACCAGGTAGGTGCCTTATCGCTATCATGTCAGTCTCGGGTCATGCGCTTCGCCTCACTTACCCTACATATTTCATGTGATGCATCGCCACCTCTTAAAAAACAGTTGTTCACCTCACGGACAATGAAAAAGATTGAGAATGTCGTCAGGTGACGTAATCATGCTGGCTCCGAGAAATCCCAACAAAAACGAAGAAAACTGTTTGTGTCTCGCGATGCATCATGTCTCGAGGGATCAACCGTCGTACAGTGGTGGGCTCCACAGACTTTCGGCTCGGGGGACCGTCATGAACAAACTTCCAAGGTTTGAAGGCTCCAATGCCAGGATGCGGTAATGCTGTAGGTGTACCTAAGCTAAGGAGCTCTAGCTGCCACAGCTTAGTGAGATCCATCATCGTGGCTGTTGCCACCACACCAAGGCTCAAAAGAGACAAAGTGTCCCAGGCATCTCGTCATCCATTCAAAGCAGCCGTCGCTTTGCCTTGCAGTGAAAGTGCTAGGTAGCTAACCTGGATCGAGGTTGGCTGGCCAAGGTCCAGATCCGGATAGCCTAAATATACGACAAAGTCACTTAGCGAACTGAGGGGACGTGAAAAGATGCTTCGTGTCCTCAACTTGGAGAACGTCTCATGCAGTCATCATAATCACTCAAATCTTCTTAATATATATCGATATATCGAACTGTTTTGCTTGCCGTCTACCACGTGAGGCCGAGAAAAAGAAACGAGAAAAATAAAACTGACAGAGACGTTTGTCTAACCACCGATACATTATTGACCCTCAACGCCAGCTTCCCTACATTTATGCCACAGATGCAATCACAAGAGCCGCCACGCCCTCCTCCTCGCCTCGGACTGTAATCTTTGTCGTAACACCGGATTTTGACGAGTATGCCATGCGAATGTTGGCCACCACTCTGCCGCCGTTGACTGTCTTGCCCAGTAGCTTGAGCGTGTGCGTGCTCTGGTTGACGGGGACATCGGTTCCCTCGAGGGGCTGCAGGGATAAGATCTTGGCTAGCTGCTCGGTTGCCTCTGTTTGCCTCATTATTAGCATGATGGGAAGAAAAAGAAACGTGGAATAGGGAGTATGTAGAGATGATATAGCAAAACGCTAGGACAAAAGGGCTTACCGGCTATGCTCTTCATGCTGCTCAGCTGCAGCGTCTCCTCCGCCTCTTCTCCTGAAGCGCCAACCTGCTCCCAGATATGGTTGAAGTTGCCAGCATATGTAGGAATGACGTAGTCGCTACCGCTGAGGTCGAATTCTGACACCTCGTACTCATCATCGTAACCGGTCTCTTCGGGCTCGCCCGTTGAAGGATCAATCTCCTTGCTTGTAAACTTGAGCACGTTGGAGAACGTGGAAACAGGCAGTGACGTCTGTCCATTGACCTTCTTGAACGCCACGTAAACCTTGCCCGGCTCGTTTGTCGCCAGCTTCTCGGCCTGGATGATGAATACCTCCTCCAGGTCCTCCTCGTCTGAAGGAGATGCTACAACTGACACGTTTTCAAGGACTGTGTCGGGAAGAGTGTTCTTGACCTCGTATTGTAGCACAATGTGCTCGTTGAAAATGTGCTTGACCACGCTGACGACGTATTCGGTTTCAGCCTCGGTAAGCTCAACGACAGGCGATGACTTGACCACGCTGCCAAACTCCTTCATTTCGGGGATCTGCATCAGCTCCTGCGCGTATCGCTGTGCCTGGGCGCTGGCAGAGGCCGCAGCCTCTGCGCCGCTTGTTGGCGTCTTGGCTGGGCCGGCCTTTGGCGCCTTCAGTGTGGGAGTTGTAGCGGTAAGCTTCTTGGTCCTGTCCTCAGCATCTGCCTGTTCTCGGGTCACGACAGGGATTTTGGAGATGTCAAACGGCACGTCGAACGCAGACTTGTCATCTGACGTGACATACAGAACCAGCTGGTGTTCGAAGAAGGGGAGCGAGAACATGTTGTCTGTGGAATTGAACGAGTCAGCAGCTGCGGCCGATCGTTGTTAATGTTATACAAAGAAAAAGGAAACTCACCATTCTTGACAAAGTTTCGAGCCATCTCGTCATCCTCTTCGGCCATCAGCTTCAGGTTCAAGGCGGCTCGATCTCGAACCTCGTCATCGACGTCGTCTAGACAACGCGTGAGCAGAACCTTGACGCTGCTCTTGACGTCGGGATCCTTCTGGCCAACGCCAAACTTGGCAAGAGCTGTGACAGCAGCGGCGCGGACAATGGCATTTTCAAGGACGACGCGGTTGTAGATGTAGCGAATGTACTTGGTAGGCTGGGCGGTCTTGGGGCCCTCGAGACCGATGAGGTGCAGGATGCGGACGGCCAGCTTGGTGAACTCGCAGTCTTCAATGAATTCGCACAGGTGGGCAAGCGCATCCTCCTTGGAGTCAGGGACGAACTTGATCAGATCGAACATGCTCTCCACAACGGCGCGCTTAAACTCGTAGCCACCCTCGTCGCGCAGGATGCCGCTGAGGAATGTCAGCATGCCGGCCTGCTTGCTGGGGAACTTCAAGCACAAGGTGCGGATGGCCTCGACAATGGTGATCTTGAACTCGTCGGTGATCTCCGACATGAAGCCCGAAATCTGCTTCATCAGCCTGTCTACGCTAGCCTCGTTACCAGTCTTGAGCAGAGTGGTAATGGCAAAGGTGGCAATGGACCGGTTGGAGTTTGAGATCAAGAGCTCAATGTCAGTGTTGCAGACGCTGACGGCGTTGGGGTTGAAGGAGGCGAAGCTGTGGAGGATTCGCAGGGCGGCAAACTTGGTGACGGCGCGGGGCGAGGTCAGGAACAGCTGCAGGACATGGACGGCCTGATTGACCTCGGCGTCGGTGACATCGCGCATGTCACAAATGGCCTTTGCGGCCTCAAAGTTGACCATTTCGCTCTTGTGTCGCAGCCAGCCGTCGAGAAGCTGCATCATGGGGCGGCGAAGCGAGGGGTCCTCTTCTGCAAGCTGCGCGGCCAGTCGGACCAGCATCACGGTAGCAGCGGGGCTCTTGACGGCCCCGGCAGCGCCGAACTGCTGGACCATTTTGACCAGGGCCATGCGGTCGTGCGAGCGCATCTGGTACAAAAGGCCAATGGCATGGTACTGAGCCATTGTCGAGCTGTTCATGGGCAGGGAGCCGCTGGAAGTAGAGAAGCCGAGAGAAAAGCCACCAGAGGACTTGGAGGAGGCGGCCGCCTCCTGAGTCTCACTCTGCCATCGTCGCACGACATCCCTAGCAATCGGCAGCAGGTGGTAGGATGAAACAAGCGCCGCAGACGAGACGGACGGGTTCTTGTCCACAATGGCGGTTTTCATGACACGCTCAATGGCTTGCACCGTGGTGGCCTATGTTGTTGCCTCACTGTTAGCAACTCGAGGTCAAAAGAGCTTCCAAAGGCGCAGCAATAACACCTACGTCGATGATTCGGCACAGGGCACGGATGGCATTGGGCCTGTAGATTGCGTCGCTGCTGCCGCCGGTGTCCTTCATGACGGTGCTAGTCACCATGATTATGTCCTCGGCGGAATTGGCCAGCTCCTTGATGATGAGGAGCACCATCTGTCGTAGGCTGGCGTCCTTGTTCTGGAAGAGCTTCGAGATGCCGAAGAAGAGGGTAGTGGCTTCATTTTTGGGGAATGACTCGCCCGTGTAGAGGAGAAGAGCGATCTTGGTCAGAAGAATGCGGCATCGTCGAGGCTGGATCGGAGAGCTGTTGAACAATCGAGCTGTGTGCCTCCGAGTTTAGCTTGGAGCTTGGCCACTTTGCCCAAAGGTGTCTGAGACGGTGGGGGATGGAGGTGGGAGTAGAGAGATGCAGGCGCATTTGCAGCGGAATTGTTACCTTCTTGGAAGACCTGTGTCCGGTCTACCTTGACCAAGCCCAGGTCGGCATCCTCGTCCTTTTTTCCGTAACTCATCGTGGGCGATTTGGTCGGAGAGGATGTTGGTGATTGGAGTCGTGGCGGTTTGGCCAATGTCCCAGTAGAGCCACGTTAAGGCTCAGGGATGAGAGACGATCGTGCATGGTCACGTGATGGGGAGGCGCCTTGCCGAAGATGGTCCGCGAGTGGCTTACAAGAGGTACCTTGACAAGCTTGACAACTTGAATAAATCTTGTCATGTTGCTTGAAATGGATCGTTGAGAAGCTGTCTGAGTTTGTCGAGTCTACAAGTTTGATGGCACCAAATCGGATTGCGAATGGTTGCACATGGAAGCCCATCCATGGCCATTTACCCGCATGGACCCTTTTGCGTGGCAATTGCAGAGGTACAAAGTCACTAACATGGTACGAGATGTGCATCATGGATCAGCTTGATAGAACGATCCACCTCTTGATTTTATTGGTTTGCATTGGCTGTAGAGAATTATATGTTACATCTCATGTCTAGTATATTTAACATTTCATCTCAAATTTCTCTTTCATCTCATATGGAGTCGTCTCTGGATGAGATATAACACTGTACGGCCTGCTTCATCCAAGACCCACCAACCCCTCGGTGAGGCAACAAAAAACCCCCAGACGCCTCACCAACCGCCATTCCCCAATTATATCCCCTAAAGGCTGACATCATTCGCTGCTAGTAAAACTCACTGATCCTCCTCAGGTACCGGCGAATTTTCCATCCTCACCAACAAACAACAATCTCCTCTCCCCCTCCCTGTCGCTTCCTTCTTTTCGAATTCCCTCTAGTTATCCCTCTTGTCCCTCAATCGACATTCACAGTGATGAAAGTGCCTACGCGAATACCCCGCCAGCTGGCATTGCCTCGCCCGCAATTCGTCCGGCCCTTTCATCAAAGCATCGCCAGAACCGCCAATGTCGCTCCGATAGTCGGTACTGGACCTCCCCCGGATCCTCCCACCCCGGCAGTCCGAAATGCTCAGGAACGTTTGGAGCGGCGAAAGAAGCACGCCGAGCTGCTGAAGATGGCTAAGGAAGTGCGAAGCGCGCAGGACGGCAAATCGAGCGGCGTGGCTAAGAGATTCTGGAAGGAGGTGACTATACGAGAGGTTGACGGTACGTTGCTTTACGAGTGTCGCAATTAACACTTGCAGCCCATGTCCGCTCTGGATTTATCGGCGTCAATCTAATGTCATTGGTTCACAGGAGCATTGCAAGTCCATCTCGACGCCCGGCCTTTGCGACACCCCAACACCAAGGCCATCATCCGAGTGCCGCTCTCCAAGCCGAACCTCGCCTCTGCGCTGGCCCTCGAATGGGACATCCTGACGTCCACCCAGCAAGCTACCAAGCAGCACCTCATCCCCCTCACGAGCCTGATCTGCCGTGCTCTCGACATTCTCGACGATGACGCATCCAACAGCCCCGAAGCCACCAAGATTCGCACAGCCATCACCCACACTGTCCTGCGATATCTGGATACAGACTCGCTGCTGTGCTGGGCACCTCCCGCGGGCCCTCATGATAGGAGAAATGACGCGGGGGAGAGTCTAAGGGACGTGCAGAAGAAGGCTGCGGAGGAGACGGTCAGCTATCTGACGACCAACGTGTGGCCCGGGATCACCATTGAGCCCGTGCTGGATGGCCACTCCATCATGCCGAGAAAACAGAGCGAGGGCGTCCGGGAGGTAATTCAGGGATGGGTCATGGGCCTCGATGCCTGGGAGATTGCCGGACTGGAAAGGGCAGTGCTTGCTGGCAAGAGCTTTGTCGCTGCAGCAAGAGTTGTCGCCGAATGGAGCGAAGGGTCTGTGGGCACTGGCCATGCCGTGCCAGTTGGGCGCTTTAGTGTTGAACATGTCTCCAAGGCTACGAGCTTGGAGGTGGATTGGCAGGCCGAGCAGTGGGGAGAGGTGGAAGACACACACGACGTGAACCAGGAAGACGTGAGGCGGCAGCTGGGCAGCGTGGTTCTGCTCGTATCAGGCACTGGTAAGCAGCATTACTGAGAGAAGGGCTGGGAAGAGAGGGCAGAGAGAAATGAAATGAAATGCATGGCATGGCATGGCATCGTATGACACGGCATAGCAAATAAATGGTCTTGATGGGTGGAAGATGCAAAACTACACTGCACGGGAAATGTACAACAAGCAATAGAATATAAATAAACCCCAAATAAATTAAAGCAACTAGATACACACTATGGCAATTGCATGCCAGCAATTGCCTACCATTATAGATACATTGGTGTTTTCTGTATCTGTCGCCACCAGGGGGCCTCTCATTTTGTCCTTTTTTTTTTTTTTTGCTCTTGTCTTTTTTATTCCTTTTTTTCTTTTCTTTTTCTTTTCTTTCCTTCTCTCTTCACATTTTGCATTCTATACCCACCCTTTCCTTTTCATTCCCTTCTCTTTTCGTTATCTTCTCTTTTCTTTCCTTCTCCCTTTACATTTTACATTCTTTACCCGTCCTTTCCTGTTCATTCCCTTTCCTTTTCTTTTCCTTTTCCTTTTCCTTCCCTTTTCCTTTCCCTTCCCTTACCTTCTTAGCCATATATTGAGAGGGGGCCTCAACCTATTCATCAGGTGTCCACTCTTGAGCCCACGGATATCCTCAGCTCTGTTCATTGCAAGCCATAGATGCGTCGTCATCAGGGCTATAACATGCATATCTCTTAGTAGATGGCTGGTAAAATACCTGTGTCTCCATTCCAGTGCCATCAAGGTCCTCCATGTTGCCATAATTAGCAAGGTTTGGGTTGGATGGCGATAGACTGGTCATTGTGCTGGAAGACGAAGGTGTCAAATTGTATGCCGACATATCTGGCCACCCTGCTCCATTGAGATTCGCGGATTCTTCAGTGTAGAGAGTTGCGTTGGGGTCGGAGAATGCCGTGTAGGGACTTGTGTATGGAGCCGGCGCAACGCTCGAAAAAGTTGTGGTTGGAGCTGTTGTCGAGTTCGTACCATTAGTATGAAGCAATGCACCAGATTCTGAGGAAGGTGCATATGGAACCGTATTCCAGTGTGAAGAGGTAGCATAGGGTGCTATGGTATACCCTGAAGAATCTGCAGATGTAACGGCTATCGAGTTTGAAGCAACAGTATAGGAAGCTTCGGCAGACTCTGGAGCAGCAGGTTGAATCATGTTTGCATCCCAGGAGAACGGGAAATGGCCGCTTCCTGAGCTGGCAGATACCGGATAGGCAGTAGAAGCCGGACCATTGAAAGGCGGGACTGCGCCCGACGCCCAGGGAGCTGTGAATGGAGCTGTATTAACGCTCGATGAAGCTGTAAACGGAGGAACAGTGCTCGCGTTTGGTGGTGGGGCATAAGGAACTGCATTATAGTTTGCAAAAGTCGCATTGTCAACTAATCCAGATCTCGAAGAAACCATTTCATTCGAGGCTGAGGACATGGTGGTCATATTTGCGGAAGCAGCCGACGCTGTGAAGGGAGCTGCATTCAAGCTCGAAGGACCTGCATATGGAAACACACTCGGGCCCCGGTTCGGATTCGAAGCGTTCAACGGAGCATTGCTGTTTGAATTGGGATATGCCGAGTGTGGAGTGCTTCCGGGTTCCAGAAATGGCGAGCGGGGATTCACATACTGCGAGTGAGGTGCCCTTTGATAGCTCCAGGTGACAGCGGGAGTTGGCAGTCTAAGCTTGAGGGTATCATATTTGTTTTCAAGCACACGGACTCCGGCAATACGCTTGTTCACACCCCATAAAAACCGAAGAGCCTTTTCGTGAAAGTGATTGTCCGTGGCCCCATAGCCGAGCATATATTGACAAGAGTCCCAGGCTTTCTCGACGAGGCTTACCTGGACGTGTGACCATAGTGTTTGCGATGTCTGAGCCATGATGAGGACGAGGCCTGCAGTACTGGTATCTGTTGTTCCGTCTAAGTTAGCTGTCTGCCAATGCGGGAATATGAAGAGCTGAGAGAGACAGGCTCACGGTATGGACTCCACCACCACTCTCTGTTATTCTTTATCTCCACTAGGAATATCTTGTAGAGAAAATCGATTAAACTTATCGCGGTGTTGACACAGCTCATCACATACGTGAGAGTCTTATCCTTGACGACAGGATCGATCTTATGTGTTATCGACTTGGTTTCAAGATATCCGTCTATGCCTATATGCATGAGAATTGGGCGGAATAGCATGGCCCGCAAGTGCATGAAGCTTTTAGATAAGTAGCATGTGTTAGTCAAAACTGTCATGCCCACCATTGACCAACGCTGCAGTATGCTTACTTGGCATTTGAGGTTGTCTTTGGCTCATTAAAATTGCCAATGCGAACGTATTCGTCTGGTAAGCCCGAGATGCCCCAACCGAGCTCCTTGGGCAGTAACTTGATGAATTCGCGGAGCTTTTCGCGTAGCATAGGAACAATCGTGGCATATTGTTTATATAGACCCTCTGTAAATGGTTCCAAGACTGGCTCACGAGTTTTGCGGATGTCCTTCAGAATCTTTTCCAACTCTTCTGCACGGATGACGGAATTGATGAAGAAGCTGAAATCTACGCTGCCGGCGGGAGATTGATAGCGACGGGTAGCGAGCGGAGACTTGCCCATGCCGGAGTTCAGGGGCAATTGGGAGTTTCTTGTTTGAGAAAACCTGAAGACGAAGGCGGATTGTCAGCAAACTGTTAACTAGCAAAGGGGGAAAATGAAAAGAGGAAGAAGATGAAAAAGGAGATGCCTACAGATTCATCATTACACATCCGTACCAAGCCTGTCTGTCGGCATCATGAACACCTTCTGCAGCGGCTGTAGGCAGGTTTTTCTCGTTGTCAATTCCTAAACATTGTGCGATACGATAGGCCAGTTCAGCGGGAATTTTCCTTTCGTTTCCCTGAAGATTGGAGCTGTTGAGAGCCACGGCGATGATGAGTTGGGTCTGTACGGCTGCCAGGCAGCTAGTCTCGAGAAGTTCCTCCGTCATGAAGAACTTTGCGCATTTCCAGAAAATGCGGGAAGCAAGCTCTTTGTCTTCTTGTTCTATGTTCGCAAAGTAGACAGCGTGCCAGAGCATCATGAAGAGAGAGCATTGAAACAGAGGTGTCGTAGGGTTGGACTCATCTGAGCAACCGAGGCCAAGATAGGCCGATGAGACATCCGATTTGGTGATGAGCATAAAGAACTTCATCACAACATCCGTAAATTGGTTCATGTTGAAAAAAGGGTATGTGAAGTAGACTTCGTGGCGGTAAATTTTGAGGAGATAGATGGACAAGCTTCGAGGTGGCATGAAGAAGGGTGCAGTAGAGGTAATAGGAGGATTTGTGACGAGTACCTCCAAGTGAATCAGTTCTTTTTTGGTTATTGGATCCAGCTTCATAGGAATACCGTCTGCCGCTCTGGATATATAGCAGTAGCTGGTCTGGATAATATACAAATAATTCCCCGCGTTGGTAGGTGGGGGTCCATACGCCTTGAGATGGGCTTCCATCTGAGGATTTTCCGATTTTAGAGCCGCTGAAAGACTCTTGAGTAGTGCACAATCCATGGTTACCTGGGGATTCTCAGTGGTAGGGGCATTCGTGGCTGCTGGAAGCTCCGTGGTTGCCGAAAGACTTGTGCATGTTGGGCCACTAACGGCCGAAGAGCTCTCGTTTACTGACATATTTGTGAGTGCCGGACCTCTGGATACTGGAAAAGTTGTTTCTGGCGTGGCACTCACGAGTGACGGAGGATCATTATCGGCAACTGGAGAAGTTGTGCCTCTTGTGCTATCAGCATCTTCGGGAGGAGTCGTGGACGGCGCCGAGATTGTAATTGAAGGAGGGTTGGCTGCATTTGAAGAACTTGTGGCAGCTAGAGATTCTCCTCGTGCTCTGGAATTTTCAGATTGCGAAGGAACCATGTGTGCCCCGGTATTCATGGCCGGCCGCTGCCTTGGACGTGCTGCTGTTGGAGGTCTCTTCCTCATTCGGAGACGATTGACCTTAACCCTTGGCCGGATAATTCTAAGTGGGATGGGAGTTCTCATCATTGGGAAGCCCGTATCAGCGGAATCATCCATTGCGGCAGAGTAAAAGTCGACTGATTGTGGGACTATATAACTTGGGTCAGCCGTAACTGACACCCAAGGACCAACTGCCGAAGGAGACATGGATGTCGAAGGACCCTTGAAAGTGGGAGAAGCCACAAATCCTTGCGGATTCGTGACTGTCGGAGGACCCATGCTTGCTTGAGGGTTTGTAGTTGTTGAGGAGCTCATGGAGGATTGACCCATAGCTGTTCGAGGAGGCATGGTTGCTGGAGCCGTGAATGCTGGAGACGCCATAGACGAGGCAGAACTCAAGGATCTAGGAAAGCTTGCATAATATGTGTCTGGATTCACGGATTCTCCTATGATTGCTGGAGCATCCATAGGTACCGAAGCATGTATGTTGCTTGCCGTAGCGGCCATGTGCGTTGCATGGCTCTTGGCTGCTGGAGGACCCATGAGTGTCGACGAGTCCACGGGCGTCCAGGGAGTTATACTACTGAGGAGCTCCGATGGTAGTGCCAAGACAGGTGGGCGAGCTTGAAAGGCGATGTCTTTCTGAGCTGGCACAGGCACTTCTTCTGTCTTGGACGAGTTGCGCTCTGCCGCAGCTGCTGCAGCACCCTCATTTGCATCTGTGTGGGAAACTTCACCCTCGCCGTTGCCCTTGCTGCCGCTGCAGGAATCAATCTTCATGAGATCATTATCATCGTCTTCCGTGGTCATGGTAATGTCACGTCTACATCCATCAGTCAGCTTCTAGTCCCCAATCCATTTTAATTTCTCCTGGTGCTCGCAATGCTCTATACAGAACTTACTGAGTGTTATCAGAACCATCGTCTGCAGCCGCCTTTGAGAGATTATCCCTAAAACCTTTTATCACAACGTTTGCGGCGCACCCAACGCATGATGCCGTGGGATCATCTCGGCGACAGCCGCATTTTTGACAAAAGCTAGGCTTGGGCCTCGGTCTAAGTTTGCGGGCAGAGTTGGGATCTTGACTGCCCCCAGCCTTTGGTTTCTGAGTATGTGAAACCATGGTCCTTGGTGGCAAGTGCCGTCTACCTTGTGCGTTTGTAGCCGTGACGCGAAGGTATGATGTAGACCCGCAGGTAAACTTGGAGAGCAGCTTGTTAACGACAAAGTAAAAGAAACGAGTTTGTCAAAAGCACCGACGCGGGTACGGGATAGGATAGTGCCTGAGGGATGGAGAAAGAGTTGAACAACAGACCCGCCGGCTTGCTCTATTTATGATCGAAATCGAAAGAGACAAAGAGAGACAAGAAGACAGAAAAGAGCGAGAGAGCGAGAGTGGGTGAGTCTGCCATCGAGCAACCCCGACATGAGCCTCCTCTCGATCGCCGATAACGATACTGCAAACCCCAGATCGAGTCCAGTAAACTCTCGCGGAAGAGCAGAAAAGAAAGGTCATTCAGTTTTTTTGGCGTGCCAGGTCTCAGATGTCTCTGCCGACCGGGAGGAGTTCTAACCAGATGAGGCCCCAACTGAAGCGCCACGATTTCCTGTGAATGTTACGCAAACCAGCCCAAGACTCGGCGGTAATTGGGCCGCGGCACCGGCCATGGCTGTATTTCGCCAGGCGACTGACCGGCATCATCGTACGTGTCCGTGCCGCATGAATCAAAGAGGCTGGGAGCTAAGATTGTCGGTGACGAGAACCTGGTTATGATAGGCGCGTGATCATCACGCCGGGCATTGTGAGGAGGAGCAAATCTGGGAACGGAGGCTAGAGCGAACCAAAAGCAAACAATTTTAATCCAATAGTAATAAGACATGCATGCGTAGTATATTCAGGCAGCACGGCTGGTAGGGGGGTGGCAGATATTTCTCTCTGATTTTTGGCTGGTTTCACCTGGCATGGAAAAAGCAAAACAGAGCTGTGGAAATGAGCCGTCTACCCCGATACCGCACGTCCTCGCGCTTTGTACATGGTTGAGATCCTGCCCACGTATTGAGCTCGGAAGCCGACAACTTGGAAGTTTTCCCCCCCAGGGATCCTGTGATTAGTGTCTTACTTTGCCTCATAATGTGCGATCTACCTGAGGGATTGTTAGGCGAGGATCGGAACCAGACTTGACAGGTACGGCGAATAATCTGTCAACCAGGTTTGCCGACGTGATGCCCACAGGTAGGTACTCATCGGATCTACCAGCCCGATAGTTGAGGCGAGCACACTACTCGTACCTCAGTACATACTGAGAACCTTGAAGGTAGAGGTATTCTGAAAGGTTGCAGACGTACAGACAATTGCCCGGACAGATAGCCGCCAGTCTTGTGCTAAATGAAGCCCTGTGACACCTGGAGCAGCGGCTCTTGTGCTCCCTTCCACCGCAACTTGTTGTGTCTAGGATAGTAATAATTGGATTCAGTATAATTAAGATGTGCAACATGGTTAATCTAATCACAACTTGTGGCATATTGCATCTAATTGCTGCGCAGTTTTGCGTATGCCGCGAGGCCATTCCCAAACACGCTTGCCTGATCTTGCAAGAAAGACACATAGCTTGTTAAATCCCACATGTTCTTGCTGCCAGATATCATCAAGCTTAAGCTAGACAGAGACGCAGCAGCGTAGACAAGATACCGAGCGGCTCGTTTCCAGACCTCTTGACGGGGTTGATTTTTGGCAGTCTGCCTTGGCGTATTAGCATGATTGAGGTCACCAGGATCAGATGATCTGGGGGCGGCAAGGAAAAGGAAAGACAACAGCTGGGGAGGGGAAGGAAAGGAGGGGAAAGCAACTTACATCATACTCGAAATCCCTGTAGACAGGAAACAGACAGCGATACCAAAAGTTGGGCTGCGAATAGGGATAAGACATGGCGTTGTGCACAATTCCATTCTTGGCCCTATTGTACCAGCTGCCACACCCGGAATTGAACACCGTGCCCTTGAGATCCGTTTGAATCTGATCAATGTACTGCTTCTCTGCGTCAAGCTTGACATCAATAGAAGTAGCTTTGCCTTGCAGGATGGGTTTGATCAGTCGAAGAGAGTAGTTGATGCTGTTCTCGGCCGCCATGATGGATGAGGTGTGGCCTGTAAGGGTGTTTGGACCTACGGGATAAAACTTTAGACTACCTAGTTAAAGTCAGAGCAGAAAAAGAAATGGTGTCTTACCCAGTATCATAAAGAAATTAGGGAAGCCGGAAAGGCTGGTCGAGCTGTACGCCCCTGGTCCACCAAGAGAACTCCAATGCTCCTCGGCCGTAACGCCTCCTCGGCCGACCACGTCAATATTTGTGCAAAATGTATTTGAGTCAAAGCCAGTTGCCAGCACTATGACGTCTGCCTCTGTGAACCCGTCCCTTGAGCGGATGCCCGTGGGCGTCACCTCCTCAATGGTATCGTTCCGGAGCGTGACGCTCTCAGAGTGCAGGCTCGCCAGGTAACCCATGTCATTTACGCGCCTCTTACAGCCAAACTCAAAGTCGGGAATTAGCATGTCATGGTACTTTTCGGGAGCCGTTTCTTTGATGTATTTCGTGGCCTTGGCGGTCAAAAAACTGCGATGCGCGGCACCCGCCTTGTTCATGAAGAAGCCCTTCATGTTTTTCTCACACAGTAGAAACGTAGTGAATCGGAAAAAAGCAAGTGCTCCTGGTATGTTAATAAACATCCACTGGAACAACTCAGTGTTGGGAGCTGGCATCGGGGGAGTGATCCAGTGCTTGGACCGCGCAAACTGCGTGACGTGCTCAACCTGGTCTTTGATTGCCGGGACAATTTGTGCGGCCGAGCAGCCATTGCCGATGACGGCGACCTTTTTGTCAGTCAAGTCAACATCATGCCGCCATTGAGCGGCGTGGAAGACGGGGCCGTCGAAGCTCTCAATGTTTGGGATATCCGGCTTGCGAGGATGGACCAGAATGCCCGCTGCGCTGAAGAGGAACTGGCTTTCATGGATATACGTAGTATCAGAGATTTTATTACGGACGGTGATGCGCCAACGGCCGGTTTCTTCAACCCATTCGCATCTTTCAACTGTAGAATTAAAGGTCATTTTTTCACGGAGACCATATTGGATGGCCGTCTTGTTGAGGTATTGCCAAATCTCTTGTTGGGAGGGCAGGGGTGAGGACCACTCGGGATTGGGGGCGAAAGACAGGCTGTAGAGCAGGCTAGGAATATCACAGGCACACCCTGGAGAGGGTTAGTTTGACGGCAGAGCAATACCAAAAGCGAGGAAGAGAAGTGCTCGTACCCGGATATTGGTTCACTAGCCAGGTGCCGCCTAGATCATCGTTTTTCTCAAAGAAACGGACGTCTGAAATGCCGTACCAACGCTTGATAGAACATCCCAGAGCTATGCCAGAGAATCCAGTGCCAATGCAGGCGAACTGGCTGTAGGAGGGTTTGTCCGCCATATTTCGTGGGCGTCTTGGTAATTTGGAACTTGTTTGACTTGATGTCTCAGGTCTATAGAACGAAGAAATTAGGTGGATTGATGGGGGAAATGTGGAAGGAACCGTAAACTTGTACTCCGTACAGCTGTCTGCAGGTGCTAGATGTATTCTCTTTCTTCAACAGAGGCTTGTCCCAGGCATTCTCCAAAGATTCACGCGAAGCAGATGCTTAAATATCCAAAAATTCATCGAGCATCACGCCGATGATGAAATAGAGAGGCAAGTTTCCCGGTCTCTTGCTCATACCATGTACCATGAAGAAGAAGCAAGGAAATCCCCATCACCAGTTCCTCATTCGTCTCTACATACCCTGTTCCCCCCATCCATGGCCCCTCGCCCAGCCTGCTCAGAATTACCTCGGTATAGAGTGATGATCTCGGCTGTATACAAAGAACTGATTCAATCAGATTCAACAGAATCGCCAGGTGTGCTCCCCCTCCTCTGGGCAACAATTGACGATAAGGTGGTTGCTTGTAATGGTTGTCTTAGCCTCCCTGGATTCGTCCTGTGCAGTCCCCGCTCCGAGCGCAACGCACCGCTTCAGCAGTTAACGCCGGCATCAACTTGCTGCTTCTGTCTTCTCCCTGCAGCTGGAAAACAGGGCAAAGGCAAAAGAGAAAGAAAAGTCTCTGGTCCTTATCATTTCGTGAACCGATTTTCGCTGTTCCTAGCTCCAGGGCTAAAGGCAGCTTCCAAGACAGGAAGAAGCCGCATCGGCGGATCTTACGCCGTCGGAGTTGCGCCGAAATTCCCAAGAGCCTCCATATCCAGTATAGAGGAATATACGAGTAAGTTTCCTAGCAAAGCGGGACGGCCCTCGATGCGGAGAAGCCCCAATGGCGGGTCGGATCGATCCAAGCGTGGGAAATCGGTCAAATCAAGATAAACTGCTGACATGCTGCTCTAATACAGTCCATTGCAATGCTGCTACGACGGATGCATTCGTTTCCTACCCCCCTACTGTGTGTATACAGCAAGATTCTTTGCTGACATTTCCTACTTTGTACTCGTACATGCAGGCAGAGATACGGGGAGCGTACTGCTGGTACGAGCATGACCAACTCTCAATACAGTTGACATCAAATGGTATAGCAGGGTAGGCATTTATTAAGAGACGCGATCAGCTACTTTCCTATTGTGACCGCCGCAATCTCCGACACAGTAATGTGCAATGAGAGGAACACAGAATGGGTCGCTTTTCATTTGCTGAGGCAAAGCCACAGCGCCTACAAACGGCTAACCGAGGCAACTCGTCACTTTAATATTGGGGGGCCGCATTGAAGTGGTTGCATTTTTACCTCTCTCTCTCTCTCTCTCTCTGTCTCTCTCTCTCTCTTCCCCAACTGGATCCTTGCCATGTGCGTCACAAGACGACTTACAAAGGCAGCCTTCGAGACCACATCACATCTACCTTGGTCCCCGAGACAAGATGCCGGAGTGCGGAATTATACAAACTACCATTTCTAGGTAGGTATTTTTATGCAGAGTACTTCATAATGCTGCTGCCTGCCCAATGAACGCTGTGTGTTTGGCGTATCCATTATTGAGAAAAGTTGGGATGAGAAAAGTTGAAAAGAACACCTTGTATTTTCTACACGCCCTGGGTGTGAACGGTGGACAGCATGTGCCATCGAAATGAGCGGGCATACCCTTGCACGCAGCATTGAATCGAGGCTAGGAAGTTCCTACACATCATATTCGCCACGAACGTGGTAGGGGTTCCCTTGGCTTCTTTGTCTTCCAGGTTTCTTTTTGCTTTTCCCTCAGCCTCCGACCGGGTATCTGTTCCCGCCAAGACCAGGCCGTGTTCCAGCCGGACTCCCTCTTCCCGGCTCAACCAAGCTGGGCTGATGAGCTGAGACATTAGGCGTAAGATTCTGAGTAGATTGAGGATCATCATCCATGTCCCTAGTAGCGGTGACCCGGGTAGGCGAACAGTTTGTAAGCTAGAGCCTTGACATTATTACTCATACGTGTGATATCCCTGTCTTCCCTATGGATCGACAATCAAGAAGGCAGCCCGTAGTATTTACTCCAGTAGGTATTGTTAAGACAGCGTCTCAGCTGCCTTACAGTACTCAACCTTGACTCTAAACCTTGACGCCTTTCTCATCAACTGGGGAAAATTCGGACTGGGATTTAGGCCTTGTGATCTTTATTTGGAACTCTTACAAGGTTCTCGAGTATGATTATCGGCTGGGATCCTTGGGGGTCCCCCTCCCTTCCCTTCTTGCCTGCTGGAAAAAAAAAAAAAGAAAAGAAGATAAGAGAAAAGAAGTTGCGCCTTGTCCGCGATGTCTGTTATTCTTCTCTGTCTCGGCCCTTTTCCTGGTGAAATTTTAAGAGGATCGCATGATGAATATCACTATGCTGCTACTCTCTTTTCTTCCTCAGTACTCGATCTTTGTTTCTTCATAGAGCGTGCTAGAATTTCATCATCCTCAGGTGCGTTAAACACCGCTTGGACATTCTGCGTGAGTTTCTACTTACGTGTATGGCATGCTGCGTACACTGGAGGTCGCCAAGCTGGACGCATTTCTCTATAGCAAGTAGTCGCTTGACAGCATTCTCTCCAGTGAGGAGCAAAAAATGTCTGTCTAGACGGAGGATAGCTGCCTAGGAGATACCCAGGATTCCAATTAATTACTCCACTGTAGCGTTTATTCCTCCTTACTTAATAATAAACTCGTAAAATTATCCGATAATTTATAGCACTTTATTATTCCTCGCTGACTATCTATTTATCCTAAATAATCTAGTAGGTGCTAAACGATTTCCTAATCTTAAACTGATTTTGGGGTTTTAGAATTATTAGACAGATGCCTTAAGAGTATAATAGCAGGATTCGGAGTAGATAGCTTATCTCCTGGGATTTATAGTGTATTGTCTCCAATAAACCAGAGGCCATATGGGGGGGGGCTCTCATTGATTCTCTAGAAGTTCAGTGGCCTGGTTTAACCAGTGGAGAACAGACAACCCCGGCGACCTTATTGAATACTGTCGTTACACCAACGAGAGGATACGATTGGGAGAACGGCACGGTGGACAGTAAGTCCTACTATACTTCCTATACCCAAGCCGAGAGCACCGAAGCCTCCCAGGGAAACCCTACCGAGAAACCCAGAGGGACGCTTCATCACAATGAAGCGCCAGCAAACCAACAACACCCCGACGGGACGAGGATGGGGACGCGTAACACGCTCCCAAGCAACACCATCACGACCAGCCTCCTCTAGCACCGGAAGAGGTCGCAGGCGGGCGATTGTAGTAGAGGATGAAGAACGGCCATATCTGCTACAAGGAGCCGTGGGCAATATAAAAGACAGCGAAATGGCGGCAAATGCTGCTGGTGTCGCATACATCGCCACCGCGGCGATGAATGCGTTGAGACATGTTGTATAGAAGGAAGGGCGAATCGAGGGAAGGGATACTTGACATGTTTGACCTTGAAGTATAGATTCACTAAAGAAATCTTATTGCACCGCTTACCACGGTGTTTGCATTCACCATAGATGAGTCATATGGTTCACTAGGTAAGGTATGTACCTACGTACATATATGCAGGCTCCCGCATTGGCATCAGTGACTTCTCCTGTCTATTGCAATCACTTGAGATCCATTCACTCAGGTTATGTAACTCTTTGAAGATAAAAACCGAGTCTTTCCTCGCTTTTGCTTATTCAGTTGTTCCTGAGGCCTTTAGCTATAGCAATACCCACGACTAAACAACTCGAACTGCGTTCGACCTCAAGAACGTGCAGATTCGCCATCTACGCACAGCTAAACAACTCATTCTGCATTCGACCTCAAACCACAAATCTGCCAAAGAAATCTTATCGCATTGCTCACCACCCTCCGATCCGTAGCGACTACAGTAGGTTCGCTGACTCCGCAAGACAGATCCCCACTAACAGACTGCCTTGCGTAGAGCTTTCCCGTCCGCAAGAGCCTTCTTCTAGCGATATAGAGAACACAATATCAACCCACCGAGACTCATAAGGTCGTTCCAAGATGACAGATAGCCAGGCTAGCACTTCACCCGACGGCAGCAGACGTCAGGCCAATGAGTTTCCCTCACCCGCGGGTAGCTCTCGGCCCGATCAGGGCTCAGCGACCAAGAATCTCCCAGTCTTGTTGCAAGAAGCAGAGGGAAACCTGGAGTGGAAAGAGGGCGAATTCGATAAGAATGCCGCCGGAGTCGCGTCTATTGCCGTGGCGGCGATAGACGGACTTAATCTCCTTGTAAAGAGCGGCGGCAAACTTAACGAGAGAGACTTTAATTTAATCAAGGAACTCGTGGACTTTATTCCACAGGAAACAATAGATTCCTTCTTTCAGGAGCTTACTGGTTCGGTGCCCCCCCAATCCGGAGGGCTTCTACCAGTGAAACAAAGAACCAGACCACCTCCGGTCCAGCGCCTCTTATCCCCCAATGCGCCGGCTGACAATGATGGTGGCGTTCCTGTCAATGCTCTACCAGATGTCTCTAATAAGAATACCAATGCCTCCAGCCAGATTACCTCAACCTCAGAGTTCTCGGCGAGTAGCGAAAACCCCCCAAGTCAAGCTCACCACGAATCACCCGACAGCTTTTGATGCTCCAGATGAAAACGAGCATATCTCAGTTCCCGAGATTGCAGCATCAGGAGAAGAAACGAGGAAGAAGGTGATGGTAATGGTGACAGCGCCTCGACCACCTGGAGTATGTTGGTAATTTTTTGAGGATGTTGGAGGGGGGATGATGCATCAGAAACGGCGGAAGACACCTGATATACTGAAAACAATGGACATGCGGGAAGCGATGGATCTGCAGTAAACAACGGATCTGCTTGAGAGCCAGCTTACGCTCCGTCTGTTTGAAGTAGACTATCTGAACTTGTGGCACAGAGAACATAGACTGTAGTCTAGTCGTTATTGAAGTTCTATTTGTTGCGGATAATGCAGGGCAGCTTAGTTTTGCTGTTGGGTCTTTCATTTTGCCCGACTGATGCCCTCGCTACCTGAACCTGTTTCTTCTTCTAGCTCTTGGAGCGCCCGTGATTGGTTTTTCTTCCCCGGCCCCTTGCTGGAGCTTCTCCTTGGGCAAGGTTTTTAAGCCTAAGGCGGAATTGGTCTATTTCGTCGCCATTGGATACACTACCATTCTTAAGGCCTCTTCGCTCGATTCTACACAATATACCTAATTAATCTTATCATAATGAACATACTTAGACACATTGCATAGAACAACGGCGTTATTACTAATAGTAATCTTTATATAATCTAGGAGCTTGTGAATTTTCTTCTATAAAACTCTATTAATTTTTTCTAAACCGAGTTTAGGAAGCTGGTTGCAGAAGCAACTCCATCCAACGACTTTCACAATCCCTGGCTATTAATGGAAGAAGGAGTCCTAGGATCTCCTGTCCAGCGAATCTTTTCCCTGCCACACCCTATTTACCCCCTACCCTGCCCACGCCTCGAAAGCGGAGCCGCCTTATCGACGAACTTAAGGCAGAAGAAGACTCAGACTTGGATGTAGGACGAGCTACGCGTTTGCCAATTGACTATCCATATATTATTAAAAATATGTGGATAGAGTATTGTAAAAACCCCCACGTTTCAGTCCTGTATACTGCAAACCAAGCAATACCGCTTAATAATAGACTTGTAAAATTATCCGATAATTTATAGCACCCTGTCGTTCCTCGCCGACTGTCCATTCATCCTAAGCGATCTAGGGGGAATTCTATTAGGAATCTTATAGAAAACACAGGGTAAAAATAATATTTTCCCAGTGGGAAATTACCTACAGTTCTTTAGTAAAGCTATAGGACATCTCTGAGATTGCTTATGGGGAAATCCCAGGGAAATTGCGGCCCAAACTCTTGGCAACTTGTGAGACTTTTTTTTATGGAGATCCTCAGTAAATCTCACCAACAGGATATGTCTGGAATATCGCACAGGGGAATATATTAGATCTTATGGGGAAACTGTTTTTATTTAGAACTCTTACAATATTGTCTAGTACAGCTATGGGCTGGGATTTTCTGGGAGTCTCCTCCCTTCCCTTCTGCCTATTAAAAAAATCCTGCTATATATCCTTCCAAAATCCTGATGTTACCACAAGTACTCTAGTCATCTGAGGTATCGTCGCTGCTTTCGCCATTGTTCTCTCCCTCGCTTGGTGGTCCTACTTGATGGACCGGGACGTCTCCCTTTTCATTGGGAGCGTTGAAACTTGCCTGGCCATTTGTGGTCAGCTTGATGTTGCAGGTTTTCGACTCGGCGAAGCTCGGTAGTCCGGACAATTGGAATAATGCTGGCATGCGCTTCGATATCTGTGTATATCCGTGCTTGTCGTAAAATTCAACGGCTTCTATAATCAGCTTCCTTACAGCCGATCGCTGAGCCAGCTTGCTGCATGTCGAAGAGGCATCTAATGCCTTGATGGCCCCTTCGCCAGTGAGATACACCACCGCGGGGTCCATGCGGAGGATTGCTGCTGCTGGGATCCCCAGCATGCCCATTGACTTTGCAAGAGTAACATTCATCTTGCCCTCCTTGATAACTGCCTCATGGAATTTGCCAAGAAGTTTGGCAACATCGGTATCTCGCAGAGGCAGAGCTTGTCCATTCGCGTAGAGGACCGACACACGAATCTTCTCTCCTGCCACTTCCCAACAGTCTTCCAAGATGTACGGCATTTCGAACTGCTCTCGCGCCTGTCCTCGGACTCTGCCAGCGTCCTCGTGCTCCGACTCATCTTCAGCCTGGAGCTCTTGGAGAAGACTCGATGGTCGCTTTCGAGAGGGGGTGGTCGCTCCTCCAAATAGTCTGCGTTGGACAGGGGGCGATGCTGCTTCCTCTTCTTCTTCGAGCCAGGTATTGCGAAGGCCACCGGAGGGATTCTCTCCTTGCACGAGGTTGCCCAGTTGGACGCGAAATTGTTCCATATTCTCAGTGTCAATATATTCCACAAGTTCTTGAGCAATCTCAAGGTCTCTGCCCTCAATCTGCCCTTTATTTTAGACAATAGGATTCTAATTAATTACTCCACTATAGCGTTTATTCCTCCTTACTTAATAATAGACTTATAAAATTATCCGATAATTTATAATACCTTATTATCCTCGCTGACTATTTATTTATCTTAAATAATCTAAGGGGGTACTGAACAATTCCTTAATCTTAAATAGATTTTAGGGTTTTAGAATTATTAAATAAATGCCTTAAGAGTATAATGGCGGGATTAGGAGCAAAGAGCTTATCTCCCTGGGGTTTGTGGTCTATTATCTCCAACAAATCGGAGGCCAAATCGGGGGCTATGGGGGAGCTCTCATTGAATGCCGTACTACCAAGAAATTCCAGTATAAGCTTTGTCGGTCTGCGTAGTCAGTTTGACCTTTGCTCCTTGCACCGATTCTGATCTTTTAGCTGGCTTTTCTGCTGGGTGGAGGTGAACACTACGGATACAACCGTCTGCGGTGGGTGTTTGGCGCAGCGTTTCTGGGGTTCTCCCACTCAGAGAATTTCTGAAATTTTTTTCGAATAAAAATTAATTCAGGTAGAAAGACGATCGTTCTTTTGTATCTTTACATAATAAACTAAACCTACATACACATACTAAAGCTGATCGCTCAAGCTCACTGCCAGTGTAGCATCTCCTTATATTTCTCTCATTTTTCTGTAAGAGTATCTGACAAATGCCAAAAGAGCATAAAGGCAGAATTTGGGGCAGATTGCGTAGAATACACTGCCGGGATTTCTGGACCATTGTCGCCAACAAACCGCAACCCATTAGGGTCGCCCTCTGCGTTATACCATGCAGCCAAGGTATTCAGGTATAAGCCTTGTCGATCGGGGTGCAGCTCTAGAAAAGCAGCATCCAATTGATTCCACCGGGATAGCTTTTGATGCCATTTTCGTAGGCTGGCGCTATATTTTCCCTGGTTAATAGGCGTGATGTTATTCCATCTCATCGGCCAGTCATGATGATTTGTAATGCGCGTATATACTTCTCCAATGGTATTGACAGTATAAAAGGATGCTGGCTTCTCCAAAACTCACCTGACTTTGAAGGATAGCATGGAGTTTATTAAGGCGGAAGTTATTTGCGTTTGTTGTCTTAGTTTTGCCTCGCCGAGCAAGAACAGCCATGGCAGCAGGTTCGCGATTAACCACCGCTTGACGATAATGCTCAAAGTTGCGGAATTCCTTCGGCTTGACTTCCTTCGCTGGTATCCAATCTGATTCGCTCTTCACTCGATGGATTTCTCGAAAGGCACATGCCTTTTCATGATCTGGTAGGGTAGCCCACCCTTTGGAGTTTGTGACTGCTGCGCATTGAGAAAAGGAATCTGGTAAAAGAACCTCGATAGAAGTAAGATGTACAGCCAAGTTCCAGATAGAGTCCGAATATATGCCCTCCCTTAGCTGGGATCCATGGAGAAATCGGCTTCCATGATTAGAGTAGAATATAAGTTGTTGGATTTCTCTGCTTTTGTGTACAATATAGAAGAAAGGGTCCTCGTCGAATACTTTTAGCTGAAGCGTGACCCTCTCCAGTTCGATAGAAGCGATAATTTTCAAGCCATCCCTCAAAGGTATTTAGAACAGCTTTGCTGACGAGAACTACAATTGCCGAGCGAAGTATTAGGTAGCTTGAATCAACACAAAGATCTTGGTGCTGTTTTCTTCTACTATGGCTACTTTCTTCTACTATTGCGACTTTCTTCTACTATGGCTACTTTCTTCTACTATGGCTACTCTCTCCTACTATCGGTTACTTCCTTCCACTATCGCTATATTGATCTAGTATCTTGCATTATCAACAATATTGCTACTAGAATAAATACTACCGCTTTCTTTATTAATTGACGAGGAACACAGTCATATCATACATAATGCAGTCAAGGCTCTAATTTTACCTAAGCGCCAAGGGCATAGATCAACCCTGTATTGAGCTGGGAAACGCCAACGAGTGCAAAACTTTCGACAAATCAGCCGCCTCCGATGCAACACAAACATTTTCCACACCAATTTCACTTCATCACGCTCGATAACTAAAGAGCCCCTTTGTTCTACGATTGCATATACAAACCGACAACAACGCACACCAGAAATGTCGCCGCGAAAACACGGCCAGTCTACACCGGATGGCCGCCGGCTGGCACAGCGCGAACCGGCACAAGACAGCTGGCACCGCACGGCAGTGAATCACGATTCCCAGGCAACGGGCACGCTGATGTCTAGGTAAAACAAACACCGCGTCTTCTGTTGACTTTTCTTAGACTTCTCCAAAACATTTCCTCCTCGACTGCGCTGAAGATGCTGAGGTTTCTGGTACCCGAGAGGGACAGCGTGTACCCCTCAAGAGACTCTCGATTCCGCCGTTCATTCTATCAACCACTGCAAAAGAATCCACCGCGATTAACCAAAGAAGGGTATATTCGCGCCCTTCAACTTTACGGAAGAGAAGATCACCTTCTTGATTCTCTGAAAAGCTCAGTGGCCCGATTCAACCAGTGGAGACGAGACAACCCCGGTGACCTCGTCGAATGTCGCCGTTACGCAACTGAAAGAGGTTACGACTGGGAAAACGGCACAGTTGGCTCCAACTCCTACTACACCTCATACGTTCAATCTGAGAACATTGAGATTGCCCAAGGGAATCTTACCACCCCACAAACCGTAGCCACAAGGTCCATTGACTCTGCTTCGAGAGCGCCTTGGGTTGAATTTGCACAAGCCCAGGAAGCTTCTTCTAGCGAAGAAGAGCAGATGACACCGAGAAACCCGGAAGGGCGCTTTATCACAATGAAGCGACAACAGGCTGCTACCCCGGCGGGACGAGGGACTGGAGCAAGAGGACGGGGCGCATTACGCGCTCCCAAGCTACACCATCAAGGCCGACTTCTTCCAACACTGGAAGATATCGCAGGCAGGCCATCGTGGTGGAGGATGAAGAGCGACCATGCTTGCTACAAGGCGCTGTTGATAATATGGTGTGAAAGGACGGCGAAACCGCAGCAAATGCTGCTAGTATTCCCATACTCCGCCCCAAGTTGCCTCTTCAAGTTGGCGACAAGAGCTACAACCGTACGACGCGTCATCCGGTGAAGAGCAGATTATGCCATCCAGAAGCACAAGAGGGAGGTTTACCTCCATTCAGAGTTCGCCTGCAACACCGACTATACCGCGAAGAAGGAATCGCCAGCCTGTCATAATCCCAGACGAATATCCCAAACTTTTGTGCCCAAGGCAATATTGTCTGGAAAGAAGGCGAGCCTGTTCGGAACGCTGTCGGTGTTACAAGTATCGCCAAAGCTGCGATTAATATTCTTCGCTGTCTCGTTAACGCCGATGGAGTATTGGATGAAGAGGATTTTCAACAGATGAAAGAATTTGTTGATTTCATTAACGAAGATGATATGGAAAAGCATCTACAAGAGCTTTTGCCTCAGCAACAATCCACGCCCCCAAAGACGGCTTACAAGCACATTCCTTTCGCAAGAATCCACGGAGACGTCTGTACAGCGCAGGCTGTTTAACCTCACGCCAACCCCAAATCAACGCAAGAAGCCTCGATTCTTGGAAGAACTTGAGGCTGAATCTGACTCAGCTCCTGAGGACCCCCACCAAGCCAAAGGGAAAGCAAGAGAGTAAGCTGAGCTCCCCTACATTATCCGCGACCAATGGGACATTGATGGTGAGCGGATTACAGTTTATGTACTCTATGCCCTGCCTTTGCATAATGGAGAATTAACTGGGTTGCTGGGAAAGTTATAAGTCAGTTATTGCTGAAAACAATACCAGTATGAGTCTATCCTCCTCCATGGCATTGCCGGGCATTCCAGCCAGCTCGATCCTCAGAACCGACCCTGCGGTAATATGCCTTACCGGAGAAGGTGCAGAGCAATCCTTGAGTACTAGGTAGCGTAATGCGCTGCGCCCATCTTCAGGATCGTTCAGCAGCCAAGAAACTGGTGAGAGCTGCCGTCCAGTTCTATAATGATTTCACAAAAAAATAGCGACAGTAGGGGAACGTAGTTATATTAGAAGAAAGTAGCGACAGTAGAAGAGAGTAGCTGATAGTGGAAGAAAGTAACTATATTAGAAGGAAGTAGCTGATAGTAGAACAGAGTAGCTGGTAGTAGAAGAAAGTAGCTGATAGTAGAACAGAGTAGTTGATAGTAGAAGAGAGTAGTTGATAGTAGAAGAGAGTAGCGATAGTAGAAGAAAGTACTAGATAGCTATAGCAGCAGGCAGGAACTTTTAGCCATAAACAGCTCACTCGTCAATACGTCACCAACAAGGGACACGACTCCGTGGCAAACAAGTTAAGTCGACACTGATGGTTGAGACATGTCCCGAGCAAGATATCCATACGCAGACACTGTTCAGCCAACCTCTAAAATCGCAGCCAGCCAAAATCCACCTCTGTGGGAAGAGTTCACTCAGCTACAAGAAAGATCTTCTTCCGGCGATAACAACATGTCGGCCCGTCGTAATTCCCAGGGCCGATTTACGGCAATGAGAGATAGCCAAGAAGCTATTACGCCCAGTGGCAATCGACGTCAAGCCTTGAACCAATCTCCCAGGCCCGCGGCAAGCTCCCAACGCCAGCGACGCATAGCAGCAATAAAGAATGTTCCATACATGCTGCAGGGAGCAGAAGGAAACCTACATTAGAAGGATGGAGAGTTTGCGGAAAACGCTGTCGGCTCCGCGTCTATTAATCTTGTTACAATGAACATGCTCCGACACATCGCACAGAACAACGGCGTCGTTACCGATAGTAATCTTCGCATAATCCAGGAGCTTATGGATTTTCTTCTACAAAACTCCATTAATACTTTCTAAACCGAGTTTGGGAAGCTGGTTGCAGAGGCGACCCCTTCCAATGACTTCCACAACCTATTTCTGCTAGAGCAAGAGACAGCGCAGCAATCTGTCCAAGGTATACTATATCCAAGCACGCCGCTTCCTCGAAAGCGGAGCCGCCTTATCGACGAACTCGAGGCCGAAGAAGACTCAGACTTGGATGTAGGACGATTACTGGAGCCGGAGTAGAGCCAGAGTTGGCTGCGACTAATTTTACGTGAGATATTCCTGTGATCCCTGTTGATCGATAGCCAAGAAAGCAGCAGTCTTTATTACGGTAGCCTTATTACGAGGAAAGTAACCACAGTATCTCAACCGCATTACTCAAGCTCGGTGCTCCTATGCCTTGACGCCCTTCTCTCCACCATTTGGTGAAGCAACCTCCTCATCCTCTTCCACAACCAATTCCTTTTCGTCATTAACGCCCATCTCGCCGCTCCATCCATGCTCTAGCAAGTAAGCTCTAAACTTTTCGTCCCGCACGGCGAGATCCTCGCCCGTCACGTTGGGTACAAAGAAGTAGGTGACCAAAACACCCACCACACCACAGATAGCAGCAATAATAAATGTCCACCGCTTGCCCAAATTATTCTGGATTGGCGTGAATGCTTGTACGCCAATTGCTGCACCTGTCTTGCCGATTGCCGCTGATAGGCCATAGTACGATCCCCTGACACTTGTTGCGTAGCTTTCAGCAGAGAGCAAGCCTAACATATCGCCAGGACCGAGATTTCCTGAACTCTGCATCAGCGCATACATGATCACAAAGAGAGGTGTGATTTTTGTGATTTTATCGTAGGCACAGCCAATAATAAGCCCAAACACTAGATATCCACTGAACCCCAACATCATCACGTTTCGCCTGCCCAGTCGATCACAGAGAAAGGCGCCGAGAAAGACACCGGGCAGGGCAATGGCTCCTAGCAGTAACTGCCACTCTGCTGTGCTCCGTAGTATGTCTTTAGGGTCGACCACGGAAGAAAGAATAGTGCCGGAAAAGACTCCATTAGGAAAGGTGACAAAGTCGTAGAGGAACCAGGCGCCACATGTGCCAATCAAGGTCTTCCAGTAGTATCGAATAGCCAGACCGTAAGGCACATTGCGCTGGATAGCGCTCTTGCGATAGAGCTTGGAGTTGAGCATCTTGAGACGGAAGTAGAAGACGGAGAGCGGGAGAAGTATGCCGATACCGAAGCATACTCGCCACACCGTCGACAGATGGTTCTCACCAGCGGCAGAGAGCACAATGAGGAAGATCGAAACAGCCAAGGGGCCGCCAAAGGAAAGTGGCAAATTAGTTACTAATATAAAGATTGGTCCTCGTTTATCAAGAGTTCTTTCGTTGGCTGCTTCAGAAGATGATGTGCTTGCAGCAGGATACTCGCCGCCTTGTGTCGTGTCAGTCGTCATTCTGTCTTCGTGGCTCAAGGGGCTGCCGAAAGGGGAGTCTTACCAACACCAAATCCAACAATGCCTCGCGCAACAGTCAACATCCAGAACATGCCGTCAATGGTGACTCCATGGGCGGCAGTGGCCAGAATACCGCCGATGACGATGAGGAGCGTTGTTACAACGATTGCAGTCTTGCGTCCAAGATAGTCGCACGTCAGACCAACGCAGACTTGACCGAGAATGGCACCGACAAGTAACGAATTTGACACGCGAGTGGAGACAGTTGAAGTGTATTGCGCAGGATACTCCTTCTTGAAGAGGACGTTGGACATTGTCATGAGGTTGTTCTGGTAGCCATCGGAAATGAGAGCAGCACCAGCCGCGATCTAGACAACGCATCATGCTATGTCAACAACTAATTCTCGTATTTGAACATATAGCAATACATGGCGAACGAAGCAAATAAAAGTATACAAGAAGCAGCTTTCATACAATCGTAGCGGAAACTCACAATGGTAAAGATGTCAGACAGCGACTGGCGCTTCTTGGCCGCGCTACTTTCAACGGCGACGACAGCATCATCGCCATCTCCTTGAGTCGCAACCACAGCGCTCGACTTTTCCGTCTGGCTAAGCTCGACAGACATGGTGCAGGCAGCTCTCAAGAGGCTTTGATTCGTATGCCGAGTCTGATCGATGGGGTGAACAAGTAGCCGGTTGGCCTTGGCCCTCTAACCTCAACAAATCAGCCTAGGTCAAATCGAATTAGACGTACGGGTGGTGCCAAGAATATATATGCACGAGCTACACACCTTTGACCGAACCGCCGACGTCCCATTTTCGCTGCAGTTGAGGATTGCAGCGTCGCAACGGAGTTTGCTGCCCTTCTCGTTTCTCTCTTAGCTCCCCATCGCCCATGAACTTTTGTTTCCTTCAAAAGCGGTTAAAGACAGGCATAAGAGGTTATCGAGAGCCAATACCAAGAAGCTGCTCGCACATGTGATGCCTTGGTGGAGAGAATCCGGCTCATAATTGCCGAACCATCGCCAAGGGGTGTGTGAAGAAAGTCGAGATGCACTGTCCACTTGCGGGAAAATCATTGGATTAAATACAGTGTCAATTGGGAGTAAGCACTTGTTTAAAGCAGATCGACAAAAGTAGTAGTAGTAGGATCTTTATAAATGGGGTCGGTGGCGCCGACGCCTTTTACATTCGATATCCTTGAAAAAGCACTTAAGCACGTGCGGGTGACTTTCTTGAATGCTTCTTTTGCAGTATCTTCGTGTGATTAAATTTCCACGTCTAGTTTCCAGTCGGGATTGTCACCTACTTTTCGTGACTGTGGTTTCGATCTAGTAGAACAATAAGTATCCTTCACTACTCTAGTATGAATGAAAAACTACTGTAGAAGAAATACGAAGAACCAGCTTTTGCGATGTTGATAGTGCTACGCCAAGTGCTACCGTTCCCACTCTTTGATCTACTAAACATGCTGTCCCATGTACGAAATAGTATTGAACTGTTGTGGCTGTGGGAGAAAACATCGACTGTTGCTTCTACACGTGGTTCATCCATGCAAACAGCCTTACCCAGCCTCGTGGTAGGCAACAAAGAAACATCCAAGTGACAGTCCCACGACCCATAAAACATGTACGTTAAAGTCCATATCTGTGGATTGTGCACACCACCTTGAGTCACCGAGCACACTATCTGATCACTCTGGGCCAGTATTGGACGAGACAAGGATGCCTCCAACCACTTGTCGATGATAGCTGCTCCCCGCCAACTCAAAGCATCTCCATGCTTTCCTGCCACGTGGGAACGATGCTTCTGACAGCTTGGCTACCGACACTTCGTGCCGTCCATGTAAATCTCGGGTCCGAGTTACCGAAGCACATGTAACCCACCTATGCCTTTAGCATGTTGCCCGTCTGCGGATCGACTTCTTGCCGGCCTCTAAAATTGATTCGGAAGTTGGCCGTGCCCTCTCGAACAAGTCGAAAGAACCATTCGGGGCCCCCTCTCTAGAATAGGAAAAAAAATCGGTCAATTTAGGTTTATGTAGCCAAACACGGCAAAGCTTGGATAGGAGAAGAAGATTGGATGATGGAGAATTCTACTCACCAAGGTTGTTGCTACTCTGTTGATGCCAGGCAAATAGATGATCGACCCATAGCCGCTGTACACGGCGCTCACCATCGCTTCACCCACAGTGTCGACCTGCAGGAACGGCAAAAGAAGGTTTGGCACATTCGTATGGCCGCTGACGAGAGCTGTGCGGATGAAGCAGAACATGCCGAATGTGAGCCGTACACGAGGTGCATTGTGAATGTTCTTGAGCTCCAACTGAAGGGCCTAATACGCATATTAGTCCAAGACTTCTACCTGATTACGAGCAAGTAAACCTCGTGTAATGCTAACAGCCCGGCCTTCGTCGCGGCGTAATCTGCAATCATGGCTGGTGGTGTCACACAACTCAAGCTGCCCGTGTGTATGATATGTCCGTGGTCCCTCTTAACCATCTCTGGCAAAAACTCCTTGGCAAGAAGCATCGGGGCAATGAGATTCGTCTTCACCGTGGCCTCGACATCCCCGTACGACCCTTCCATGATGGTTGCTCCGCGGACCAATCCTGCATTATTGAATAACACCGTAGGATGCCCGACCTCATTTCTGATGAGCTCACAGGTAGACCTCAGGGCATTGGAGTCGCTCAGATCGCACTGGTAATACGACACGCGAGCCCCTTCTTGCTTATGTTGCAATTTCAGCGGAGCGTAATCGACAATTATAATTCGAGTTCTTGGGTTTCGAGCGATGAGCTGCTTGGATATACTGGCGCCGACACCATCACTTCCTCCCGTGACAACGACAATCTCTTCATCCCAGTTCCACGTCTTATCCGATACCCAGTTGTTGGCAAATTGCTTGTCTAAATAGTCGTTTAGAGACAGAAGAGCACCAGCGAAAGTTAGCGCGTAGACTGGGAAAAGGAACCTAGTGACGATTGTGTCTGGAGTGTATGTAGCCAAGCCCGATAGAAGAAGAGCTACCGGTGCTGTGATAACAGGGTTAAAGAGCCAGCGTCTCAAAGGAGCAGCTATCGAGTCAAGAGTGACCCCCTCCCTTGATGTAAACATGGTTTTTTGTATTGATGTGAGCGCAGGAAGATTCTTGTGTTGTTTTCGTTCTCTTTCTAATTCAGAGTTGAGTGAATAGGCATACCACCACAGCTTTAAGAATGGGATACGGCTACATAGGTATGCGACCTCCCTTTGATCCTAAATGTGGCCGTAGCGGGAAATGGCTCACATGATGTTGAGGATTCGGGACTATTGACGCCCATTGTGAAACAGTTGCCACATCGGCATCAGCCGTACATGCATCTCCCAGCCGTCCCTATTCTCCGCATCTGCGCCAAGCTGAAAGTACTGAGCTGAACTGTTACAATTGCCTCCGCTTTGGCCTTCCGAAGTGACAGAACCTGATACACGCCCCGCTCGCTTAATTGGATAGCAACGTTGTTGGACTTGGTTGCCATCCTCGTCTCCAAGCCTGGGCTGGGTGTAACTGGTATGTGCACAGCTACATATCAAGAAGGCGGTAAGTCAGTCCATGCAAGACGACCCTACATGCGTCCGGTGAGAGTTGAAAGCCTGCAAGATAAGCCATAAGAGGATGATATTGGCCAGCGCAACGTAAGTCAACTGAGACAGAATGCCACGCTGTAAAACACGGCGCAGGAAGCGTCGTCTAAGAGAGGAGAGCGGTTTTATAAGATGGGCTGGCTTCCAGCTGCTCCAACGGCTCTTCAATGTTTCCATCGCATGTATCCTTATTTAGTTGTTTAGTTGTGTATGGTATGTCGACATAGTTGTGCAGTTGAGCACTGGTAACCACGATATCCACTTTCGATGGTAGGACAGAAACTCATCATTCACTCAGTATCTCGCTGACATACATTCGAAACAAACATCTAGGCCAACAACGTCAAGCCTCACCTCTCCATTGGCGAGAAACTGAAGCTGATCGGGCTTTCGCTATTTGTCGGTGAGTCTTTGCTGGTCAATGAATATATATATAGCTGGTATCATTTCAACTGATCAAGGATGTCTTCGCTTAGCCCCCTGTATGCTCGCAATCGTTGGTGCACAGGTGCTTCTGTTCGCTTTCCGGAACAACTTGAATATTCGGCTGTATCTTTTGAGTGCTGGTGTCAGGGTTATCTTTAGTACCTTTACGGCTCGTGAAATCCAAACTTTGCTTCCACCTACCGAAGACGTATACAGAGCATGGATCCAGCGAAAAGCTAGGCTTACAAAGGATCCAGCGCTCAAGGAACGGCTCCAATGCGATATAAAACGTCTCCCCGATGGCAACTCAAGCATTCTCTGGGTTGGAAACCGCCACAAAGCCCGTAAGGTGGTACTCTATCTTCATGGTGGAGGATATGTCATGCCGAGCCAAGCAGGACACTTCGAATGCGTGTGGAATACATTCGTTCTCTCCGGACTAGAGTCAGATACCGAGGTAACTGTGGCATTTCTACAGTATTCCTTGGCTCCCGCTTCGAAAGTTCCCGTACAGCTCCGTCAGGCCGCATTTGCTCTCTCCGAGATTCTCAAAGCTGGCTTCAGCGCCAAAGATATCGTCATCGGCGGTGACTCTGCTGGTGGCAATCTCACTATGCAAACTCTCAAGCATTTGGTCGAGCCTCATCCTGAAGCTTGTCATATCGCATTAGATGAGCCTCTGTCGGCTGCTGTGTTGGTGTCGCCGTGGCTCAGTACTGAGTACTCTAGCTCCTCATGCCTGGAATACGATAGCAGCGATATGCTCTCGAGAGCCGTCATGCGCTCACTGACGGCAGATGCCTCCATCTATGAACAGCAGAGCGACTCGGACGAGACCAACAGCTGGGCGAAGCCCCTTGAATGCAGAGGGGCTTGGTTAGGCAAGCTACACAATGCCGTGAGGAAGATTCACATGACTGTTGGTGGGAGGGAGATTTTGGCCGATCAGGCAACGTCAATGGCAAAGGCCATTGAAGCCATGAAGACGGATGTCCAAGTAACAGTGGAGAGCGACCCAAACGCCGCCCATGATTTTATTGTAGCCGAAGGAATACTGGAACAAGTCGGCGAGGCGACGATTAAAATGAAGCAGTGGTTCAAAGGATTGCTATGAGAACCGAATATTTAGCATAATCCCCTACAGATGAGGGAAGGTATTCAGCAATAGTGAGAAATAGTCACTATAGTTCTATGCAATACTGCCCTCCAGCACTCAAGACATTTAGAATGACGAGCATTAATCAGTCTGGAACTTGTGGTCACACACATAGAGTGGCACATATTTTCAAGGTATTTCTCGAAGCGACATTGTGGTAAATGAAGAATTTAGACTGGCGTCATAATGAATCAGAAATGAGCACAGGTTGGTGGAGATGATTTAAGTCGAATACGAGTACTGGAGGGAGCGGAAGGTGTCTGATTAAGGAGAGTTTGTATTCTGCAGATTATGAAGCGAATAGGGGGAGAGGAAAGAGAGAATGAGATGAAAATTCAACGCTGCAGGTGTTCTTACCCGTAACTCTAAGCTGCGCCATACACGTCATCACCGTTCTGGTTCTGTGTATTAATGTGAGAGGTGATCTACTGTAGTGAGAGAAGATTCATAGAATCCTTCTATGCTTAATCTAGATTTGGTATCACAATATATGGCAATTCACTCGCTCATTTATTGTGCATGTTTTCCGTGCATCTTGAGAGAGCTGGTATCTGGTATCAGAATGAGATTCTCACTTACGGCAGCCTAGTCGGGTGAGTGACTGCACTCACAAATCCGCAAAGCTTTAGAGATTGGGGATTAAAAAGGGACTTGCTACTCATAAATATCAAGACTCCCCTCAATTGCAACGTCAGAAATTAAAGACGTGTCACGAAGGTACTTATTTTCATTGAAGACGATACCTATCTGGAGCAGGGAAAAGACGGCTTCTTCGGCCCCCTTGCTCTCGCCTCACTCACTTCCAGTCACGTTTTGTCATGGAAATACACACTGGATGACAATTGAAGGCCAAGCATCCGAGTTGCCTAATAGTCGTCTGATGCTACCTTTCTTTGGGATGGAACGTCTTGGCTGCCAAGCACGGCTTGCGCGTCCTCGCGAATAATTCGCTGCTCAAGTATCAACTGGGAGCTGTGCGGCTCAAAAGCCGTCCGTGAGGCAGCCAAGCCACCGCCACTGTGGTTACCATGCGGTGCACTGCGTCGATTGAAAGAGCAAAAGGTGGAGAGTCAGAATTTTCAATATCTAGCAGCTCATTTTTGCTGTTCTAGAACGGACCAAGGATTGCTATAGTTGTATAAGTTAAAGAATAGCGATACTGTAAGCACCGAGTGGTGAGATAAAAATTAAGCGCTCGGTACTTGTCCTGCCAGAATTCAGTTGAGAGTGAAGATGCTCCGTTTCATCCATAATTGACATCAGCCCGAGGACCTTTCCTTGAGGGTGGAGCGGCATCCCTGTTGGACTGTGGAACCGATATTACGGGAAGAGAACAAAGCTCTCGTGATGGTGCTCTTTGTATAAGTGCTGCAAGGTCTACCTAGGTATTCAATTTGCATCTCCGTCTTTGGTCAACAGCTGGCACCAAAAAGATTCTCAAGCATATGTATCAAAGGGGCGCTTCTGGAAACAATGGGACGAAGAAGTCATAGGTAGGCTGTAGGAATCTATGACGAGGGAGGCTCTTGAAAGAACTCCATAGGCAGAGCTGGACGACGCCTCTCCCAGGAGATCCGAAACCCCCACAAAACTTGAACCATGCCTATGTGGTTGGCTAGGGTCCATAATACTGGCTCACCACTCCATGCCAGCATAAGCTTTTTTTCTCGTGTATCCTCAGCAAGAATGAGCCGAACCTTGACTTTATTGCCAGCAAGAGTACAAAGTATCGCTGCTTACTACTCGTATACGTGTGTTCAACCACCCAAGTATCGGCTTGGCTCTCCCGAGAACGAAGTGTGTGGCCACCGCTTGATCCGCCTCAATAGCGTCATGTAGCTGAGAACGGGCGCCACAACGCGGAAAGCTGTGCTTGGCGGGTCGAGTCCAAGCCGACTAGTGCTTGTCTAGAGATGCGAGAGCTCGTCTAGTGCAGAAGCCGCAACGCTGCGCCGCGTTCGCTCCAACCTCAGCTTGGCCAACAGCCTGTCGAGGGAAGCTCTCCAGCCTCATCCAAGGCTTGTTTTCTATGGAGCAGGCCGGCCCGTAATGGCTAGGAGACGACAATCGGAGACGAGGTCAAGGAGCCCATAAAAGGGAAAATGGACGTCTTGTCTGTTCCTCTGCTGTCATCGACCCTTGTCGACGTTCCCCCGCTAGTGAGATCGCGCCGAGATCTGGGTTAATCACTCTGTTGACTCGATTGCCTTTCAGCTGGGACTCGATTTTCCTCTTTCTCTTTTTCTCTAGCTCCCCCCTTCTTCCGTCTCTTTGTTCCTCTTCCCACCCGCCGGAGCCGATATCCTCGCGAACAGAGAGAAGCAGAGAGAAGAGAAGGAGAGTCGACAGGACCCTCGCACACCATGAGGCTGACGACAGCGCTCGGGCTGCTGATCGCGGCGCAACATGCGGAAGCCGTCGTCACTCCGATGTTCCCGCGGGCGGAATCTGGTGATGGATATTTGTCGATCCCCGTGGGAACCATCAAGAGGCCTCACAACAAGGTTGGAAAGAGAAGCGCCATTGACGCGGTGTTGGAGAATATGGATTTCTTCTATGCCATCGAGAGTGAGCTCTTTTTGCCCTGCTTTTAAGCCAATCACCGCGCCTATTGGTTTTCTATACAAATTTGGATTTTTTTTCCTTACTGCCCCATATAAGCCAGACGCATTATCAACCGTTTCCATGTCTCAGACACAGCCGGCGTCTCATGTATAAAGCGACAGCTACTGCTACTACTTTCACCAATCGCATGCCGAAAAGACAGTTTATACTAACAGCCTGTCACCGCTAGTCGGCCTAGGAACTCCTCCCCAGAACGTAACCGTCCTTGTCGATACAGGATCCAGCGAGCTATGGGTCAATCCGGACTGCTCGACCGCACCGTCCGAGTCGCAGGCCGAACAGTGTCAGCAGCTCGGCGAATACAATCCCAATAGATCGAGAACGCCGCCGGTTGGTCCGTTTGGGCGCGAGGAAATCAACTATGGCGACCCAACAGACCAGTCCACGCAGACGTCAGTCGACATCACCTACTATGCCGACACGTTGAGCTTTGGCAGGATTCAGGTCAAGAACCAGACGTTTGGCGTTGTTACGTCCAGCGAGGGCCAGGCGCAGGGCATCATGGGCCTCGCGCCTGATGTTCGAGGAGGATTCCCAGGCGACCAACCATACAGCTTGCTGCTGAACACAATGGCCGACCAGGGAGTAATTGCCAGCCGAGTCTTTTCCCTTGACCTCCGACATTCCGACTCAGAGACAGGAGCCCTCATCTATGGCGGCCTTGATCGAAGCAAATTCATCGGTTCTCTCGAGACTCGACCCATCGTACCTGGCATCCAAGGTGAAACACGTTTGGCCGTAAATCTGACTACGCTGGGCCTCACGCAAAGCCGTTCGCAGAGCTTCAGGCTAAACAGCGCCGACACAACCGTGATGCTCGACTCTGGCACGACGCTCAGCCGCATGCACTCCGCTGCCGCATTGCCTATCCTCGAGGCTCTGGGCGCCCAAAACGATGGCGAGGGCTACTTTTTTGTGCCGTGCTCGCTTCGTAACTCCGCTGGCAGTGTCGATTTTGGCTTCGGCAACAAGGTCGTCAAAGTTCCCTTCTCTGAATTCATCCTATCAGCAGGCGATAGTGGCGGCCCCAGCGACTATTGTTACGTTGGCTTGGTCCTGACGACGGACCAGCAGATTCTGGGAGACACGGTGTTGAGGGCTGGATACTTTGTATTCGATTGGGACAACCAGGAGGTTCACATCGCCCAGGCCGCTGACTGTGGCAGTAGTGACATTGTTGTCGCTGGCAGCGGATCCAACGCCGTGCCCAATGTGCAGGGCAACTGCAACAGCAGTGATGCCGGTGTCACGGGCACAGGAAGCCCAACGGTAAGTGATAAAATTCAACGGCCTGTTTTGTCCTGAATCACAAGAACCAGGAACTGATAATACTCTCCACAGGCCACGGGAAGCAGCCCGACTCGCACCAACAATATCCCGACTACGGCCGTCACAACTGTATTTACGGTGACATCATGCCCAGTTTTCGATGTCGGATGCCGCACCGGCATGATCACGACCCAAACCATTCAAGGAGCTGAAGCCACGACTCAGCCTAGCGCTACCAGCACTCCTAGTAGCAGCGGCAATGGAGATGGAGGAGACGAAGATGCTGGTGTGCGACCTCCGGCCTTGACTTGGGTCTTTGTTGTGCTGGGTGCTTTGGCAATGATTTTTAACATTGTATAATTTCAAGAAGGGGTCTCTTACTGTATATATTGACGAGCGAGAGGACCATTGGCCGTCAATTCTGGATAACTCGGCCGAGGATTTACATACCAGGTTCGTATATGACGAAGGAGGGCGAGACACGACTGCACATGGAAGTTTTATTTCCCCAATGGATGCATGACATACATACACACAAATCCACTTTTCGACTTGCATTTAATGATTGTTTACGTGTCGTCG